CATCATCATTATTATTATTACTATTATTTTCTAAATATTAATTACTTTTATTTTCTGTGTCTAAGAGTTTTGCCTATATGTGTGTAAGTCCACATTCATGCAATGCCCTATAGAGGCCAGAAGAAGGTGTTAGATCCTCTGGAACTGGAGTTACCAACCATTGTTAGCCACCATGTGGGTGCTAGGAATTGAACCTGGGTCCCCTGGAAGAGCAACCAGTGCTCCTAACTGCTGAGCCATCTCTCCAGTCCCTTCATTATTATTTTTAAGCAAATCAAGACTTGATTTCATGTGATTGTTTATTTATCTGTTAAGACAGATTCCTTCTATATTGCCTAGGCTTGTCTTAACTTCCTGGGCTCAAGTGATCTTCCCACCTCAGCCTCCAGATGTGGTGGAGCAGGGAGGTCATGGTGGAGCAGGGAGGTCATGGTGGAGCAGGGAGGTCATGGCGGAATAGTTTACATCATGGCAGTCAGGAAACAGAGAAAAGGGTGCACAGGAAGAGGCCAGGAAGATACAGCCCCCAAGGACATGCCCCAGAGATCTACTTCCTCCAACTAAGTCCTCCTTCCTACCCTTAACCATCTCCCAATAATGCCAACATATTATGACTCTATCAAGGGATTAGTCCATTGATTATGTCAGCCTCATGATCTACATCCAGAAATGTGCCTTACAAATCTAATAGGCATTTGTTAATCCAATCAAGTTGATAATCAAAATTAACCATCACAAGAACATTGCCTTCCTGCTCAGTGATTTCATATTTCTTAATGCCTTGCTACACACCTCATAGGCATCTCCTTTCTCAGGGGAGCGATCCCCTCCTTTTACTTAGAGATTCAATGGTTCCAGAAGGTGGGAAAGCCCCAATTCCTTCTTAGGTCCTCCCAGGACTTCAGATTTTGTTTTTATTTTCTATTGTTTGGTTTGGTTGGTTGGTTTGAGATAGCACCTCAGGTAGCTCTGCATGGCCTCAAACTCATTATGTATCCAAGGATGGCTTTGAAGTTCTGATCCTCCTGCCTCCCAAGTACTGAGATTACAGGCATGTGCCACCATGCCTACCTCTTATTTTCTAGCTTGATGCCAGTGTGCAATCTTCTGGTACAAAAGCAGTGGAACCATGGTACAAGTTGAATATCCCTAATCTGCAGGTACAAAAATCTGGATGCTCTAAAATCTGAAACTCTGAGTGGAGTGCATTTAAGAGTTTAGATTTTTTTGTATTAGGAGTGCTCAACCAGTAGAGTGTAGGAAAATATTCCAGAATCACAGGGCTGGACAAGGTGGCTCAGGGTTAAGCCCTCTTGCTGTTCTCTTTTCCAGAGGACCAGAGTTAGGCACCCATGTCAGATGGCTCACAACTGCCTGTAATACCAGCTCCAGGGGGTCCAGTGACCTCCCCTGGCCTCTGCAGGCACATCCCTACACACGGTAGTAAACACACAGAGACATACACATATGTACACATAAATAAAACAATTGGTTTTTTTGTTTTGCTTCATTTTGTTTTGTTTTTAAAGAAAAACACATTCTGGGGCTGGAGAGATGGCTCAGTGGTTAGGAGCACTGGCTGCTCTTGCAGAGGACCTGGGTTCGAGTCCCACCACCCACATGGTGGCTACGAACCGTCCTAAACTCCAGTTCCAGGGGAATCTGAAGCCCTCTTCTGACCTCCGTGGCATTGCACAACACAGGTGCACTCACATACATGCACACAATATACTCGTACACATAAAATAAAAATAATAAATATGTAAAAAACACACATTCTAGAATAAAGTAAAACAAGGGCGGGAGAAATGACTTAGTAGCTAAGAGCACTTGCTGCTCTTGAAGAGGACATGGGTTCAGTTCCCAGCACCAATTCGGTGGCTTGTAACTGTCTACAGATTCCAGTTCAAAGGACTCTGTACCAGGCATGCACACAATGTACATATATACATGCAAAAAACCCACTCATACACATAAAATAAAATTTAAAAATCTTAAAAAAAAAACAAACCCTGGAAAACAAACCAAACAGAAAAAACCAGTCCTGAAACCAGACATTCTGTTCCCAAGCATTTCGTCTGAGATTCAGCTTATGTGTGTTTCTTAATTTATATAACTGATCTTTTGGACTTTTGACAGCTCTGCCCCTTTCTAATGGACGAAGTTCTTCCCTCTCTGAGGTTGGAGAGACCTGTTCTTTTGTCCAATCCATCGCACAATGCTGAGCTTGTGTTCAGTGTGTTAATGATGTTGCCTTAGGTGAAATGCCACTAATGCAAGGGGCCATAAAGCATCAAGCATTGGTTTATTTTCCAGTTTCTCTGGGGCAGGAATCTGGGCACCTCTGACTCAGGGTCTCCTAGGACAGGAGACATTGCAGGGTTCAACACAGGAAAGATTTACTTCCCAGCTGGCTCTTGTTGCTGTTGGCAGTCCTTGGGTCTTCCCCGGCTATTGGCTAGTCATCAGTCTCTTGCCAGTGGGCCTCTCCCTAGAACAGCTTGCTACACAGCAGCTGGTGTCCCTCAGAGAATGTGAGTGAGTGAGAGGGCATCTAAAACAGAAGTCACATTCTTCCTGTAACCTAATCCAGGAGATGACACTTGATCCAGCTCACACTCAAGGGGATAAATCACATAGAATGTGAATATGGGGAGAGGCATCCATAGGCCCTCTGTGTCCTTGGGTCTTGAAAGATGAGGAGGAAGAACTTTGCACATGGACAGGGTGAGAGTGGAAATAGTAGACATGGCAGAGGAAGCCACCTAAGGCATGACACAGCAGAAATCTTTTTTAATGGGTCAATCTTGTTTTTTGAGACAGGGTCTCCCTGTAGCCCCAGTTGGCTTGAACTTACTATGTAGACCAGGCTGGCCTTGAACTCACAGAGATCCACCTGCCTCTGTCTCCTGAGTGCTGCAATTAAAGGTGTTCGCCACTATGCCCGGGCTATTTTTATTATTTTTATTTTATGTATATGAATATAATGCTTTCATGTAGGTGGGTGCACCCTGTTCATGCAATGCCTGTGGAGGTCAGAAGAGGGCGTCAGATCCCCTGGAGCTGGAGTTACAGATAGTTGTTAGCTGCCATGTGGGTGCTGGGAATGGCACCCAGGTCCTCTGCAAGATCAGTCAGTGCTCTTAATCAATGAGTCAGCTCTCCTGTCCAGAAATTTCTTATTTTTTTCAATTTTTTTTTTTTTTGGTCTTTTTGAGACAGGGTCTCTTTTTAGCCCCAGATGGCCTGGAACTCACTATATGGACCAGGTTGGCCTTGAACTCACAGAGATCCACCTGCCTCTGTCTCCCGAGTGCTGGGATTAAAGGCCTGTGCCACCACGCCCGGCCTTATTTTGTTATTTTTATTTTAGTGTATGAGTGTATTACCTGAATGTGTGTCAGTTGTACCCATGGAATGCAGTACCCGTGGAGGTCAGAAGATGTTGGATTCCTCTGGAACTGGAGTTATGGATGGTTGTTAGCTACCATGTGGGTGCTGGGAATCGAATTTAGGTCCTCTGCAAGAGCCATCTCTCTGGTTCTAGAAATTTCTTTCCTTAAGATTAAAAAAAAATTATGTTATATGTGTGTGTGTGTGTATGTTTATCTGTGAGTGTATGCCACATGTATGCAGGTGCCCATGGAGGCCAGAAGAGGACTTTGGATCCCCTGGAGCTTGAGTCATAGGTGGTTGTGAGCTGCCTGACGTGGGTGCTGGCAATTGAACTCAGGTCCTCTGGAAAAGCAGCAAGTGCTTTTAACTGCTGAGCCATCTTTCCAGCATGAAGTGTTTCTGAAATGCAAAAGGTGGTTGTACGAACTGTGTGCTTGTCCTCAGGCCCCACTTGGAGCAGGGAATCAGAAGGGATCAATAAAACAAAGCAAAAGAGGGTTGCGTGGGGTATAGTGGCATAGGCCTGTAATCTAAGCACTTAGGAGGTGGAGACAGGAGGTTTGGGAGTTCAAGGCTAGCCTTGGCTACATAGCAAGTTCAAGTTCTTTTGTGACCCTGTCTCAAAAAACAAGCCAAAAACAAAACAGGGTCAGCAAGAGATGGCTCGGTGAATGAAAGCACTTGTAGATAAGCCTGACAACCTGAGTTTGAGCCCAACAACCCTTCTGGTGGAGTAAGAGAGCCAACTCCCACAAGGTGTCCTCTGACATTCACATGCAAGTGCATGCACACACACATACAAAATGTACAAAGCAGCTAAAAACCCAACAGTGATAAAAAGAGCTGTGGGTGTAGCTCGATGGTAGAACGTATCCTTAGCACGCATAAGGCCTTGGGTTTTAAATTTTATTTATTATTTATTTATTTTTGTGTGTGTGTGTGCATGCGCATGTGTGTGTTTGTGCATGAACATGACACAGCACGTATGTGGAGACCAGAGGACAACTTATGGGAGGCAGTCCTCTCCTCTTACCATATGGGTGACAGGGAATGAGGGCAGGTTGTCAGGCTTGGCAGCAAGTGCTACTGACTGAGCCGTTTTCAAGCCATATCTCTGGAAGATGGAAGGAGAGATGAGCAGGGATGGTGCCTACAACAGCATGGGATTCAGTAAGTTCCTTTTGGGCGTCAGTGCCTGGCTTTGCCCAGATGGAAACAAATTCCGGGAATCCGCATCCAAGCCGGGCCATCTCTCGCATACCTGCGAACAGTCTCTCAGCTTCCTTCCTTCTCTTGACGACTACCCCCTCCTGTCTCCAGCACCTTAGGATTCCTCTGAAGTACAGAGGAGCCTTGCTATGTCCTGTGTGAAACCTTCTTAGTCCCTAATGCCCGTTGGTATACCCTGGGCCTGGCTTCCTGGGGGTGGCACTGAAGGCCTCCCTGTCTAGTTCAACCTGCTTATATACTGAGGGAAGGAACTGAAAAGGCTGCCTTTCCCGTACCTTCTTCAGGGTCATGCCTCTAGCCACACGGCCTGGCTTCCTCTTCAGCCCCAGAAACAGACGACAAGGCCCCTGTCATCTTCCCCTCCTTGATCTCTCTACTATCAAAGTCCCCAGAACAGGGTAGGATAACACAAAGTACCAGGTGCCAGCTACAGATGTCCCTCTGGTCAAGATAAAGTAGGAGTCAAACTTCTTACCGCTGCCGGCCCTCTCAATCACACTGACATTCTTTGTTGTCCAGCAGTGTGGGCCATGGGGACCAGCCCACCCTGGGCTGTCTGCCCATGAGTCAGGTTGGAAATGACTTATGTGCACAAATGTAGGTTTCTGTGGCTCATCACTTGGGTCCTATCACCCTAAAATTCACCAATTGTTGTCCTCGCTCTGTTCTACAATGGCATCTATTCATACCTGAGGCCCCTGAGGGTGGGGACTATATGTGCCCCTTGCTATGTATGGCAGAGTATCTGCGTTGATGTGTTATGTGTCTGTGTGTGTGCACACTTGAGTTACATGTGTTTTCACCTGTGACTATATATGTAGAGGGCAGAGGTTGACCTCAGTGATCTTTCTCTATTGCTCACCATCTTTTTTATTCTGAGACAGGGTCTTCCTATAGCCCCAGCTGGCCTGGAGCTTATTATGTAGACCAGGCTAGCCTTGAGCTCACAGAGATCCACTTGCCTCTGCCTCCTGAGTACTGTGATTAAAGGCATGCACTGCCAGGCCCAGCTCCTGTAACACTTGTTACCTTCAAGGGAGAAGTGTGCACAGTCACCTCTTTGCGCCCTTCATATTTCTTCCCTTTGGTCATCCAGGCCAGGAGTCAGGAAAGCAATGCTGTGATGGTCAGAGAAGCCAAGTGTGGCCAGTTTAAGCCTAAGGAAATGGAGGACTGCCAAGACACCCAGAGCCAATAGGAGGCTGGCCATTTCAGCTTGGAACGAAGCAGGAACTTAGCTAACCAGGATTGGAATCAGACCAGGCAACAGGCTCATAGAGAAAGTTGGGCTGGGCATGGTGGTGCATGCCTTTAGTCCCAGCAGAGGGACTCAGGAGGCAGAGGCAGGTGGATCTCTGTGAGTTCAAGGCCAGCCTGGTCTACATAGTTCAGGCCAGCTGGGGCTACAGGGAGACCCTGTCTCAAAAAGACTGAAAAAAGGAAGAAAGTAGTTGGGTTCAACAGGGACACATGCATGGGAGCAGGGAATGCTGGTTCTTTGCAGGAGGAGATTGGAAGCTTGGGGGAAGTGTGATGAGGAAGCAGATCCTGGAAAGGCAAAATATACCAGCTGTGACCGGGTGACCTTCTTTTCTCCATGGGATCTCATTCCAGCACCGGGGAGACCTGGGCAATGTCCAGGCTGATGCTGACGGCCGAGCCATCTTCCGGATAGAGGATGAGCAGCTGAAGGTGAGATGGAGAGGTGGGGACCTTCCATGTAAGATATTGGGGCTGAGGCTGTTGTTTCCCCTCAAAGGTATGGGATGTAATTGGCCGTAGCCTTGTTATTGATGAGGGAGAAGACGACCTGGGCCTGGGAGGCCATCCTTTATCCAAGGTCACGGGGAACTCCGGGAAGAGGTGAGTAGACATTGCTGTGCCAGTGGTGCATGTGGAACCCTGAAGAGGCCTAGAGGAGGCCTATGCTGACCACATATCCTTCTACAGGTTGGCCTGTGGCATCATCGCACGCTCTGCTGGCCTTTTCCAGAACCCTAAGCAGATCTGCTCCTGTGATGGCCTAACCATCTGGGAGGAACGAGGCCGGCCTATTGCTGGTGAGGGCCGAAAGGACTCAGCCCAGCCCCCTGCTCACCTTTGAGCAGGGCCTCACCTTGGGTCTGTCCCTTAGCAGAACACCTTCCATCTGTGGAGGCCTTGCTTGTGCAGGCCTAGGAGGACTAAGGGCAGGTAGGGGTTGCTATGATGTGTCCTTGGCAAATTAAACTATTATTTTCATATGGCACTTTGTGTTTCTGCCTCTCTGCGTCCCTTACTGGACTTGGTGAGTAGGGTAACTCTGCTGTCTGTATCCAGGGCCACCCCTTAGTTTTGGCAACAAACAGACTTTGACTCAAGTCCACACATCCTAAGGACTCTCTTTTCTCCTCTTCCTTGGAGTTATGATGAACAGCCACAGCAGTGACATTTCTGTGTGTGGCCTCTTCCAACCCCTCACTGGATCTAACTAGGCCTAGTTGGCTCTGTATCCCCAAGAAATCAGGGATCTAGCATATGTCCTTCCTCCCTGTGGATAAAGCCATAATCTGGGAATAGGGGAACTATAGTGGTCCTCTTCTCTCTCCCTTGTCAACTGAGGATCAGAAAAAGCCAGGCCAATAAGGTAGGAATGAAGTAGGAATGAATGTCCACAGAGAAGCTGAGAGGTACAGCATAGTTCTAGCCACCCCGCCATCCCAAAACTAAGTCATTATGTGGCCAGGTACCTCCTGCCCTGGGATTTAAGAGGTATGCCCATGCCCCTTCTCCCATGCATGTCCCCTCCCTTAAAAAAAATCAATCTGCCTTGAGCTGATTTCTCTTATTGTTTTTGGGTGTATGCGTGTTTCTGGAGGGCAGAGGTTGACATCTCTTTTTTTGTTGGCTCTCTACCTTATATACTGAGGCTGGGTCTCTCATTTCAACCAGAGCTCACTCATTTGGCTCATTTAGCTAGCCAGCTTGCTCCATGGATCCCCATCTCCTCCTTCCAAGTGTTGGAGTTAGAGGCAACCATCATTCCTGCCCAGCATTTAAACAGATGCTGAGGATCAGAACTCAGGTCCTTAAGTTTGTGTAACAAATACTTTAGCCACTAAGCCATCTCTGCAGCCTCTTTTACTCTCTCTTTTTTTTTTCTTCAAGATAGGGTCTCACTCTATAGGTTAGGCTGGCCCCAAACTCACAGAGATCCCTGCCTCTGCATCCAGAGTGCTGGGATCAAAGGCGTGTGCCACCACACCCAGCTCTCTGCGCCATCTTACCCTTTTCCCTTGTTTTTTTTTTAAAACTAATTTTTGTAATTAGTATACAAAATAGTGGGGTTCATTATGACATACACATATATCATTGTATCTTGTACTGCCCTCCTCCAACCAAGTCATTATTTTTTTGAGACAGAGTTTCATGTAGTCCAGGCTGGTTTCTAACTCCCTATATAGCTGAAGATGGCCTTGAACTCCTGATCCTCCTGCCTCCATCTCCCAAATGTTGAGAAGACAGACATGTGCTACCGTGCCCTGCCTTAAGTTTTAATAAATAAATGTATGGTACAGAACCTGACATACAGTAAGAAAAGGAAGCTGTGACCAAGCCTCCGGGGCTACCTGAGGCTCCTGAAGGCAACACTCACAGAGATCTTAGTAGAAACCTGCTAACCAAGAAACAGCACTTGGGACTTGGATTCCAGGCTCCCTACTTATCTATTCTGTCCCCCACTTCACCTCCCTAGACCACATCAGGCTTGCCCATCCTTGACAAAGCTGTTTTTATGATAGGGTGAGCTGTCAGACCACAAATTTTACCCCCTTGTCACCTTCTTGGAACCAGGTGATGGTTTTACAGTCAGCCTTGGCTTTGAGAACTCTAGCTCTGCTCCCAAATGCTAGGCCCTGCCCCTTTCCTGCTTTAAGGGCACTTATACTGCCTTTAGCAAGGAACCCTATTCCTTCTGGAAAAAACAATGCTGGTTGTTTTCCACCTCCCCTGGGGTCCTGGGAGCCAATCTTTTTAAGCTTGGGGCCCAGGATGTCTTTTCCCATCTCCCGATATTACAGAAACTCCTCCATTCTGCCCTCAGCCAACAGATAGACAGACAGACAGACAGACAGACAGACACATACACACACACACACACACACATGGGGCAGGGAGATTGATTGGGGGGACAACAAACAAACACACCATTTATTTTTAATGTGTATGAGTGTATTGCCTGCATGTATGAGTGCACCCATGTTGTGCAGTGCCGCTGAGGTCAGAAGAGGGCTTCGGATTCCCCTGGAACTGGAGTTAAGGACAGTTCGCAGCTGCCATGTGGGTGCTGGGAATCGAACCCAGGTCCTCTGCAAGAGCAGTCAGTGCTCTTAACCGCTGAGCCATCTCTCCAGCCCCCCAAATTAATTTTTTTTAAATATTTTTTTTATTTTATGTGTATGAGTATATTGCCTGCATGTATGTTAGTGCACCATGTTGTGCAATGCCTTGGAGGTCAGAAGAGGGCTTTGGATTCCCCTGGAACTGGAGTTAAGGACAGTTCACAGCCACCATGTGGGTGCTGGGAATCGAACCCAGGTCCTCTGCAAGAGCAGTCAGTGCTCTTAACCACTGACCCATCTCTCCAGCCCCACAAATTAATTTTTTTTAAAATGAAAAAAAAAAAAAAAAGAGCCAGGCGTGGTGGCACACGCCTTTAATCCCAGCACTCGGGAGGCAGAGGCAGGCAGATCTCTGTGAGTTTAAGGCCAGCCTGATCTACATAGTGAGTTCCAGGATAGACCCTGTCTCAAAAAGACCGAAAAAAGAAAAAAAAGAAAAAAAATTCCACAATCATTTCCTAATCTCAGGAGCCTTCTATTTAATTACATCTTGTTTATTTTGGGACAGGATGGCCTGAAATTCACTATGTAGCCAAACTGGTCTGGAACTCACAACAATCCTCCTGCCTCAGCCTGCTAAGTGCTGGGCTCACAAGTATAAGCCTCTATGCCTGGCCTTATCAGGTATTTTATTTTTTTTGAGCAGGGACCCCCCTGTAGCCTCAGCTGGCCTGGAACTCATTATGTAGACCAGGCTGGCCTCAATCTCAGAGAGATCTGTCTGTCTCTGCCTCCTGAGTGCTGGGACAAAAGGCATGTGTCACCACACCCAGATTAATAACATATTTGAAGGCTATATGAGAGACCTGAACCTGCTGTATTTGGAGACTGTTAGTAAGTCTACCATAATGACCTAGTAGACCAAAGGTTAATGGTAGAAGTAACTGAGGCAAATTCTCACAAGTAATTTGGCTGGACTCTGTTCTCTGGTTTACACAACACCATTTCTCTCTGGCCTTTTCCTCCATTTACTATTAAAGAGATCCGTGCTTTCCCTAGCAGATTGCTTTTCTGCACATTGTTTCTTCCTAAGGTTAAGTTTACTCAAAGTTTGTACAGTTTGGTTGAGATCAGTGGTTCTCAGTGGCAGTAGTACTGTTCTGTACAGGTTTTGGAAGTCTATGAAGATTTTTCTGGTTGCAGTAACACTGGTAGGGTGTGGGTGCTCATAACACTTCTAGGGGAAAACAGGATATTCATCAATTTGCATTGTGCAGGATAGTGGTAGGTTAGGTGTCCTACCAGTTATCCTTGGAAATCAAGTGTCTCACTAAATATCCTTGTAAGTGAAAAACATGTTACAAATTTAAAAAGTTAATATTTTTATAAGTGTATTGCTTATTTTTTAAGTGCGCCGAGCCATCTTTCCAGCCCCTCGTTTCTTTTAAAATAATATTTTCATTGTGGTAAATGATGATTGTGCAACTTTTCCTGGAAAGACTTTCTAGTCACCAGAGAAAGGGGCAGGGGGAAGCACAAGGACAGACCAAAGAAACAAACTCATCCAAGTCCAGCTTGGTGAACCAATAGTTTTATTTTTGTTACTTACAGGTGCATGAAGGGTTACTTATAGGAACATAGGTGACTTGGGCAGCTCCATCACTGAAAAGCCCCTCCCGACAGCACAGGTGGTGACTTACAAAATTGACATCACAGTGGTCCCCTGCCCAACCTGCAGGCAGCTATACCACCAAAGAGTCTTCCCTCACCAGCAGTTGTTGACCACTATATTACCTTGGGTTGGGTGCTGAGGATGTAACTCAGTTGGTAGAGTGCTTGCCTTGCATTTACTCACCACCACATAAAGGGCATGGTGGTACATTCCTGTAATACCAGCACTTAGGAGATACAGGCAAGAGGATCAGAAGTTGAAAGTCACCTCCCTATTCTAGGGTAGCCTGAGTACTTGAGACCCAATGTCTATAGTTTTGCCTTTTCCAGCATGTAAAATAAATGGAGTCATATAGTATGTATGTTGTTTTGTTTTTTTATGGTGATAGAAATCAATCCCAAGAGGCTGGAGAGACAGCTCAGCGGATAAGAGCACAGGCTGCTCTTGCAGAGGACCTAGATTTGGTTCCCAACCCACATGGAGCAATCAGCTGTTCCTAACTCCAGTTCCAGGGGATCCAACACCCTCTTCTGACCTTCCTGGGCACTGGACAACACAGGTGCACTTACATACATGCAGGCATAACACTCATATACAAAAAAAAAAAAAAATAGGGGGCGGGAGAGATGGCTCAGCAGTTAAGAGCACTGACTGCTCTTGCAGAGGACCCAGATTTGATTCCCAGCACCCACACGGCAGCTACGAACTGTCCTTAACTCCCTCTTTTGAACTGTGCAGCAATGCACAACACAGGTGCATTCACATACATGCAGGCAATACACTCATACACATAAAATAAAAAATAAATAAAATATTAAAAAAAATTTAAAAAATTTTAAAAAAGAAACCAAAAAAATGTAGTAAAATCAGTTATTTTATAAGTAAGGAAGGTAATGCTCATAATTAGGAAGAATTTTGCCAAAGTCCACAAGGCTGGCAAATCAGGATGCTTGGGTTTTGCTATGATTTGACCATACTCCCTAAAACTTCACATATTGTAAATTTATTCTCCAAATTCATATGTTAATGGTATTTAGAAATTGAGCCTTGGAGATCAGAAGAGGTCCTGAGAATGGGGGTCCTATGAGGAGGTGAGTGGCCTTTTAAGAAAAGTAAGAACGCCGGGCATGGGGCATGGTGGCACACATAGTCCCAGCACTGGGGAGGCAGAGACAGGTGGATCTCTATGAGTTCAAGGCCAGCCTGGTCTACAAATGAGTTCCTACCCCCCCCCCCCAAAAAAAAAGGCCAGCCTGGTTTACATAGTGAGACCCTGTTAAAACAAAAAGAGTCCTAGATGGTGGTGAATACTTGTAATTCCAGCACTCTGGAAGGGACAGGAAGATCAAGTTCAATGTCACCTTCAGCTACATAATGAGTTAGAGACCAGCCTGTAGTACATGACATGAGAACCTGCTGAGAGAGAGAGAGAGAGATTCTGACTGACTTAAGCTAGACTTGCTCTATCCTGCCATGGTATGCAGCAAGAAAGCCCTCACCAGCTGCAGGGAAGATACCAACATCACCTGGCACTGTTTGACTTCTCAGTCTCCAGACCCATGAACCAAATAACTTTTCTTTACAAATTATACAGTCTTTGGTATTCTGTTATAGCTACAGAAAATGAATTAAGATAGGTTTAATGGGTTGGAGAGATGGCTCAGCAGTTAAGAGCACTGGCTGCTCTTGTACAGGACCTGGGTTCGATCCCTAGCACCTGGCTAACATGGCGGCTACAGCCATCTGTAACTCCAGTTCCAGGGGATCTGATGCCCTCTTCTGACCTCCAAGGGCATTGAAGGACCTGGGTGTACCCACCTACATGTAAGCATTACACTCATACACATAAAAATTTGAAAAAAAAATGATAGGTTTAACTGAGGATCTGACTATGATTTGGGATCATGGAAACAGTGAACTAGACCAGCTCTGCCACCAACTTGAAACACGCCCTTTAGTGAGTTTCTCATATGCAAAATAACTAAAGTAGCATTACCTAAAAGCTAATCACTAGGTGTTGCATGCCTTCTATGTCAGGGAACAGAAGCAGGCAGAACTCTTGAGTTTGAGGCCAGCCTGGTGTACATAGTGAGTTCTAGACCAACCAGTGCTACATCTTGAGACCCTATCTCAAGGAAAACAAAGCATCAAGTTCAAGTTTTGATGGTGCCAGAATACCTCTCTAGGAGGAGGTAAAGTCACACTATCAGCAGAATGTATGAGTACTTTCCTCACCCTCATTTCTCAGCAGTAGAGATTATAAATCTTTACTATGTTTTTGTAAATCTGAGGGGTGAAATCTCATCTCAGGAAATTTCTACTTCTACAAATGAAGTTTCATATTTATCGGCCATTTGCACTTCTGATAAAATTGCCAGTTCAAATCCTAGCCATAATGTTTTTTTCCCTTATCAGCTTGTTACCTGTTAAACATCATCACACTGGTGATTATGTTCCAATTTAGGAATTTTGGGGGATGCAAACATTCAGACTATAAGGATCTCTAAACTGAGTTTCTGCTCTATAGAAAACATGCTTCTCCCACAGCGTTTTCTGTCTCAGTAAACAGCAGCTCCATTCCTCCATGTTATCTTTCACTTCTTTCACAACTAACAATCCAATCATATATGGCAATAGCTCTAATGAACGCCAAATCTGACCACCTTTTTTTTTTTTTTTTTTGTCTTTTTGAGACAGGGTCTCCCTGTAGCCCCTGTCTGCTGTCCTGGAACTCACCATGTAGACCAGGGTGGCCTTGAACTCACAGAGATCCGCCTGCCTCTGCCTCCTGAGTGCTGGGATTAAAGGCGTGCTCCACCACGCCCCGCCTGACCACATTTTAACTCTACCATGGCAATGCTTATCACATCAACCTCCTGGATTCTGGCAACAGCAATCATTGTTCTGTGCAAACCATTGTTTTTCATCTGTTTTTGCCCATCTCAAGAGCAGCTGCAACACTAAACTATGAAATGTGTGGTATCAGATCTCTTTTGTGCTACCTCTCTGTGAGGGTCTGGCTTCAGAGTAAAGCTAGTCAGATCAGTGACCCACAGGCTGCCACATAACCCTTCTGGCTTCTCTCTCATTATTCACTGTGCCTGGCTCCAGGTATATTGGCTCTCTTCTCTTCCTTGAACCAGCCAGACTTGCTCCTGCCCCCAGGTCTTTTTGACTTGTCTCAATTTTTATTTTAAAAATTTTTTGGGGGCTGGAGAGATGGCTCAGTGGTTAAGAGCACTGACTGCTCTTGCAGAGGACCCCGGTTTGATTCCCAGAACCAACATGGCAGCTACGAACCGACCTTAACTCCAGTTCCAGGAGAATCCGAAGCCCTCTTCTGACCTCCGCGGCATTGCACGACCCGGGTGCACTCACATACATGCAGGCAATATAAAGTAAAAATATATTAAAAAATTTATGTGTATGAGTGTATTGCCTGCATGTATGTGAGTGCACCCGGGTCGTGCAATGCTTGTGGAGGTCAGAAGAGGGTGTTGGATCCCCTGGAACTGGAGTTAGGAACAGTTGTTAGCTGCCATGTGGGTGCTGGGATTCGAACCCAAGTCTTCTGCGATAACAATCAGTGTTCTTAACCACTGAGCTATCTCTCCAGCCCACATAAAATAGTTTTAAAAAAATAATGAAGCAGTGAGCCACAATGCCCAGCTCCTTGCATCTTTTAAGCCCCAAGTTTTGGCTTCCTTTTCTATTTTATTAAACTTTTTATTGTGGAAAACATCCAACATAGGCTGGGCAAGGTGGCACCCGTCTTTGATCCCAAACACTGGGGAGGCAGAGGGAGGCGGGTATCTGTGAGTTCGAGGCTAACCTGATCTACATAGCAAGTTCCAGGGCTACATAGTGAGACATCGTCTCAAAAAGAAAAAAGAAAGAAAAACACTTAAAAACATAATAGTCATCTCCGTCTTTCCCGAGTAGAAATTCCATCGGAGACGGGCTCCTAGTTTTCAGTCTTCAGCATCGGCCGGGAGACTCAGCAACCCCAGGGATCGTGCTTGCAAAGAACCAATTACTGGCAAGGGGGCTGGCTGCAGACAGGTGCCCTCGGAACCCCTCGGAGCGCCCCGCACAGTCCCGGGGGGGGGTGTCCGTCTGTCCCGGTTTCTCCCGCCAGATCCAGCCTTCCCGCACACACGCACGCGGCCCCCGGGGTTCAGCCACCACAGCCCGTATGGGAGGAGCCCTGACTTCCGAGCGAAGTTTTCCACGGCGCCCGCAGTTGCCGGCCCCACCCAGGCCGACCAGAGGCCGCGCCGCGACTAGGCCTCTGCCTTAGGCGCCCAGCGCGCGCCCGGCCGCCGGCCTCCCTTGCCCCTCCCCCCCGGCGGCGGCGGTTGGTCGCCCACCCCGTTCCCCCCTCCCCCCAGCCTCTCCCAAACCTCCTCGGCTAACGAGCGGGCTTGAGGCCCTCTGGAATTGGCCGAGGCGGACCGCAGCTTCTGTCGAGCTCGCTGATTGGCTGCCGCGCGCGCGGGACGCGGCCTCCCATTGGCTGGACTAGAGCGCCTGCGCGGCGGGGTTCTCGGTCGCCAGCCATTCCTGGAGAGGACTGCCGGTCGTTCGGACGTTTCGCCTTTCTCTGCAGGAGAGGTCCCGTCTCTCCTGGAAGGGCGACCGCGGCGGCAAAATGAAGATCTTTGTGGGCAATGTCGATGGCGCGGACACGACACCGGAGGAGCTGGCGGCCCTCTTTGCGCCCTACGGCACGGTCATGAGCTGCGCCGTCATGAAACAGTTCGCCTTCGTGCACATGCGCGAAAATGCAGGCGCGCTGCGCGCCATCGAGGCCCTGCACGGTCACGAGCTCCGGCCGGGGCGCGCACTCGTGGTGGAGATGTCGCGCCCGAGGCCCTTGAACACTTGGAAGATTTTCGTGGGCAATGTGTCGGCTGCATGCACGAGTCAGGAATTGCGTAGCCTCTTCGAGCGCCGCGGACGCGTCATCGAGTGCGACGTGGTAAAAGGTAACGCGGGAGCGCGCTCGGGTGGGGGGGGTGAGCGGGAGCGCGCGGTGTTCTTGGCCTGTTAGCCACGCCCCTTACCCAGGGGTCGTTTCACTGCGCGGTTGGGGGACTGGGGAAGTGCGCGGGAGCGAGGCCAGCGGTGCTTGGGGCGCGTAGGGTAGAGCCACCCTCCTCCCCTGCGGTCCAGGCAACGAGCATCAAGTGGGAGGAGTCGGCTCTGGTTGGGCGCTGCGGCCCGCGAGCCGAGCCACCGGCCAGGGACGCGCCAGAGGCTGGGGAGAGTACCCGGGGCGCGCCTTCTGTCTGGGCTCCTGGGCCTGGCACCGAACTGACATTGGGAAGTGACGGGCATCAGCCGGATCATGGAGCGGGGAAGATTCCGCTCCTTCCCCACTTACTCTTCAGACGTCGGTCAGAGCCAGGGAAGAGGGAAAAGGTGGGGGCTGTTGCCCCAAGGCCGCCCTCGTGTTCCCTCCTGATGTGTGCTCCCAAGCGGAAGGTAACGGGGCCCTTGGACGCTTCTCGGGTTGGGATCTTTTTTTAGTATTTTGTCCGGCATGGGTTTGCTCGTGGGTACAAGAGGGGCCCTTTCCGAACCCCTTTAGCCTTTCAACATTTGGTAGGTTAATCTTGGCAGCTTTGTGCTTTTCAACTCCCGCAAGCCTGGGGTCTTTTTTTTTTTTTCTCCCCCCCGCCCCGCTTTGGGTTCGACTTATCAACTGGAAACCCTGATTTTTTTTCTTTTGCATGTGAAAGGAGGATTGTTTTTATGGCACCCCCCCCCCCCGGGCCTTTACTTGCCAATCTGGTGCCTCAGGGCCCTGGCTTTTTATAAGTTTGGTGACATTGCAAAGGGGCATATTCTGGCTTTTGGGGGGGGATGTTGTGAAGGGGGTGTGTTCGAGGTCTTCATTAAAACTGGCGAAACACCACTTAGTCATTACTCGCCATTGTTTGAGTGATCTAATTCTTAGGGCAGCTCCCTAGTTGACCTTTTCTTTGAAGAAATACACTTTTTTTTGGTTCCCGTTGACGTTTTCATAGGCTGGGCTCTTATCCCCTAAATGCTTACTCTGTTGGCAACATTTGATGGGGAAAACCCTGGAATATGTGGCCAGTCTCCACAGATGAGAATTGACTTTGCCCTATCCTTTTCAGTCATGCAGCATGCAGTGATACCCTGTTGATGCCCTCCCCTTGCTATTGAATCCATGTTTGTTTGTGCCCTGTGAGGAATTTGAGGACAAGAAATAAATATGGGTGTAGGTGCTTGTTCATTCTCATTAAAGATAGTCCATTGCTGTCCTGGAAAGGCACATCTTTTGGGCCATTGTCCTTTCTGTAAGTGGGAAGTTTAAAGGGTTACAGGTGTGCATTACTGGGAACACTTTTTTGTTGTTGTTCTGCATTAATACTGCATTCTGTTCTCAAGTTGTGCAAGTCCATGACTGGAATCGGGCTTTCCAGCTGTTTGATTTGAGCAGGACTGGATAGTGCATGGATTTTTGCTTTTGTTTTAAAGAGTGGGAGAGGTCTCAGTTTGGGCCCTTGGCCAGCAAAAGGATTGGATATGAGTTTTTATGAGAGTTTTGTGTTTAATGAGTGTTTGAGAGTTTTAGCCTATGTGGTTTGTTTGTGCTTCTTAGGCAGGCTCTACTAGCTTAGGAGTCTAGAATCCAATACCTCAGGGCTGGAACTCATGGTCAAGAAACTTGCTCTCAGGTGTTAAAGAAAGCCAGAAATATGTCTGAATTTGTTTGGGATTGACACCAAGTGGCAGTGACAGTGAAGTGATTGGTGGCTTCACATGAAGTATAGGACTCCAGGCTGACTCCGTGTGAGAGTTAGTGGGAAAATTTTGTACATTTTTTTGCAAACAAAGAGCAGAAATTATTCTAAGGGATGTTCAGTTCTAGGCTGATAGGAAATAGAACTCAATACTTTGATCTAAAAGACTGTTGAGAATTTAAACATGGTTTACTGGTACCTTTTTTCTTTTGGGTGAGATTTTAAAATTGGTAATGTCAGGGAAGCCACTGGCTTTGGCTCAGCGCCCCCACCCCCCTTATCTTTTGTCAGGGGCTGAGCATGGGCATTTGAGTCTCCTGGTTGGCTGTCAAATCTTTGAAAAGTGCAGATGCTTGATCTTGCACCGAGTGACCAGGAGAAAATATAGTTGCTTGGTTACTTGAGCTTAGATATGATTTGTAGAGCAATGGTAATAACCATTCTCCAGCAACGTGGTGTTGGGAATTCAAAGACGAACATTTTGAGGAACGATTTAGAGGTCTCGGGAGGGCTGAATATCAGAAAAGGAAAATTGGGGGTTTGTAGCCGTCCTTTCTGTACAGAGCTCTGAGTTTTAAGTTAAAGGGTTTAGTCTTAGGGTGGGAACTCATTTTTCTGTATTCGCTTAGCTTTGGTACTAGAGATTGTGGTGCCATCACACCATTAGGAGGTCCTGCAGATACTACTTGCTAATCTTAATGCAGTGATTTCCTTCAGTGGTTTCTTTGAACTAGCTGTCCAAGCAAGTAGGTCTCAGGAGTTCTTCATTGCCCCAGGGGTTGGTTTCTGAGGGAGTTGAACAGGTCTTTGACTGCTTACTGTGATGGAACTTAACTGTGATAATACTACTGTTAGCTAGGAAACTTCACATGCCCTTTTTTCCTGTGCTTCATTAATGCTAGGCAAGCACTCTTCCAGCTGAGCCACATTTCCTACCCCCCTTTGAGACAGTGTTTCATGCAGCCCAGGCTGGTCTTGAACCTATGTAGCTAACAAGCCTTAAAGTTCTGATCCTAACTCTGCCTTCCAAGTGCTTGGATTACAGGTGTGTACCATCATGCCCAGTTTACATTTCCTTCTAATAACAGGCTTAGGAACTTTTCCTGGTATGATTTGACTATACTGTATTAGAATTCTCCCCCATTATAGCACATGCACATCTGGGTAATCATTTGAATTGCTCATGTGAAATTACTATCCTTTCCTCCTTTTTTTTTTTTTTCTTTTTTTTGTGATGCTGTAGGGTCAAACCAAGAGCTTTATGCATGCTAAGTATACACTTCCACTGAGCCACATCCCAGTTCTGCCCCCCCTTCCTGCCTACGGGCTCCCCCACCCCCCATTTTTGAGACATGGTCTCACTAGGGTAACTTGGGTTGGCTTCCAAATTTTGGTGGTTCTGCCTTGATTGCTGGGATTACAGACCTGCTGCCACATGCTGTGTCCCAGTTGCTCCGTTAAAATCCAAAACCAGGTGTTGGGAGTAGATTAGGGGATATCTAATTGTTTTTGTAAACCCGTTGACATTTGGGTGTTCTCCTAGCTCATTTGTGAATACAGTGATAAGGAAAGTAGTGTTTTCTTTTATTCTTCTCAGTGTCTGACGTCTCCACCCATCTACCCAACCCATCTAACTACAAATCTGGACATTTTCTCTTCATTTTTAGTGGGTGTTTCTGCTGGTCATTGTATTCTGGTAGTTTTGTCATTCTTGAGAGTCAGTTCAGCCTTTCAAGAATTTTTGAAGTAGTGTGCTAACTGTAGCTTGACTGGCCTCTAACTGATCATCATCCTGCCTCAGCTTCCTTAGTTGTTAGGGTTGTAGGCATACCTCACCATACTTGATTAGTCTTTGCTTCTAAGGAGATTTTAGACCACCAGCTACTATTTTTAGCTACTTTCAACCCAAAGTGGAGATGAGAGATCAAATGACGATTCTAGTACCCTGTGGCTGGGTGGAAAAGAACATTTAACTTTTCACAATTGGTAAATAAGGAGTTAGGCTCTGGCTGTGAGTTTTGAAGACTAGCATTTTTGAACTAGGAATTCTGTTGGTTTTGTTTTTTTTTTTTTAAATCATATCTATCAGCTTCCAAGTTTCTGTGACATTTTATTAGAGATGAAAATAATCTTTAGAGAAAAAATCCTCTGGTTAGTTTTAGGTTTGAAGAATTGTCATAATTCTATCATCCTATACTTGTGCCTCCTAATTTTGAGGTTGGTGGGATAGATTTGTCCAGTGGGGAAATAAATGGTAAGTTCCTTAAGGTCTCATAACAAGTCAGTGATGACTACATCTGGAACTGAGCCTTTTAGTTGCAAGCCCAGGATTCCTTACGCTATACCATACTTGGCTTCTATCTTTTTTATGCATTATGAAGTTGGCATTGACTTTAAATCCAAGGAAATGACTTTTCTGTAAGAATAGTTTAGAATGAAAGTTCTAAAAGCAGGGTACTTGTTTGGAGGCCATTCATAATAGTTTATTTTAGAAAATGGAATCTTTTCATTTCTGAAACGGATATAGCAGAGATTGGATCTTGGCTGTAGTCTTGGATTCCTTCTTAAAGTAACTACCGGTCAAAAATGGAGTTAAGCACAGTGCCTACTTTGTCAGGGACAGGTTCTTGTCGTTGTTCTTTAGATCCTGCTTGTTCCATTGGGACTTGTGAATATAGATGTCAGCAAGAATTTCTTCCTTCTCATAAAGTTCCTTCCTATGTTGAAGATGATGAAAGTTTTGAGATCAGTACCACCATAGCTTAGATTTGTCTCCCAAGAGAATTTACTTAGGTCTTGAATGAGTCTGGGGGTGGGAGGCTAGTGATGGATGTAGCTCAGTGGTAGAGTACTTCCCTAGCATATGTGAGGTGCCCTCCTATGTTCAATCCCTAACCTGGGTGTAGGGGGTAGAGGAGGGGAGTGAGTGCTTGAGTGACCACCCTTTAGGTAGGGGTAATCTGTTAGCAGTTGTGGTTGTAGCTTCAAACAGTCTTCCAAAGAGAAAGGCATATTTTTGTCTCTTAAAAGAAGATGCTGGGCATAGTGGCACATGCTTTTAATCCCAGCACTTAGGAGGTAGAGGCAGGTAGATCTCTGTGAGTTCAAGGCCAGCCTGGTCTACTTAGTTCCAGGACAGCTGTGGCTACAGGGAGACCCTGTCTCTAAAAGATTTAAAAAAAAAAAAAAGGAAGTGATGGAGGATGTAATGTGGGCTGCAGAGGGGAACTTATTTTCTATTCCCATACCTTATTGGCCTGTATAAGCTTCTCCTGTCTAAGCTTATGTTTTTTAGTCATGCAGTCCTGTCCATGGACTTCCAGGGATATGAACCGATGAAAGAAAAGGGCATGGAAGAGCTTCCTGAGGCACTGGTCCAAGGATGAATGTATTGATTTATGGCAAGCCACATAGAAACTTGGGCATGTTTGCCTACTTACCAAAGATGATGGTCCTTTGTCCTGATGCCTTATGGGGTTGTAAAGCCCTGTGAGTGAAAGTGCTGTGAAAACTTGGAAGTAATGTGAAAAGGGCAGGGTTATATTGGAGGAATTTTGTGAACTGCTTGCTTGTTGCTCGCGCTCTCTCTCTCTCTCTCTCTCTCTCTCTCTCTCTCTCTCTCTCTCTCTCTCTCTCTCTCTCTCTCTCTCTCTCTCTGTCAGTTGGACCAAGACTGAGGTGAGCCACACCAAAATGTGAGTGATCATTTCT